GTGGAAAGGAAAAAGGAGCACTGCTACCTTGCGCCACACGAGCCGTGCTTCTGCCTACCGCCGGCACATCCCTAATGCGGAGGCCTGCCTAAGCTCATGGACCAGGGGCTGTGGGAACCACCTCCAAGGGCAACCCTGAAGCCGAGTCGAGAAACCCCACACCAGGCCTTGGGGTTTTGATGTAGGTGTAGCCATTTGGCTTTGTCAGTTTCTTTGAGGGAACCCCAAAAAGATTTCCATTGGGTTTCCCTTTCAAACAACCCAAAAAAGGGTACTGAGCCTCAAAAAATGCCCCCCCCCCCCCCCATTTGATCCCAAGAGAATCACGCGCAGTGTCACACGCTTGTAGGTTTGGTCGGTCGAGTCGGAGCAGCCCGCAACCATGGTACATTTGTTTTCTAACTTTTACCTACCCCTCCCCACCCCACCCCCTGTTATCAGCCCGGAACCATGGTTATAGCTTTTAAACTACCCCCCACCCCCACCACCTCTTACTAACCCCATCTAAAGCCCACATCCAAATTGCCACCCCCTCTAAATTGCCACCACCTCTAAATAGCCACCCCCATCTAATTGCCGTTTTTTCCAAAACGCCCACCTCCACTTCCCAAGCGCCTTGGGGCAGTAGATCTGCACCACCGAGCCGGAGACCTGCTGCCCTACCTGGCAAGCCGCTCAAGGACTCGGCGACTCCCGCAGATTCACGCGGAAGCTCCCCCAATGGGCCTCTGTAAAAGGAACCCAAGTCTGCCAAAAATGGTCCTGGAAGCTTCCATGCTAACCTGGAAAAAGAGGAGTTCATGTCCAAAACCTGACAAAATGGAGGTCCTGACAGGGTCCAATGACGCTTAGTTGGGCAATGTTCAGATCTTGGCTTAGCGTGCGGACACATCATTTGCCAACGGGAAGATATTGAAGTTAGCCTGATATTTGGCCAACATCATGTCAGTCGTCCAATTTACATTTTCCAACTGATGGCTGGACTTTCCCATTCCTTTTACTATGTCAAAGCATCTTCCTACGTAGCAACCAGGCTTTAAAAAGACTCTGATAATAAATAAGCAATCAAAGAAACAAAGAAAGAAAGAAAGAAAGAAAGAAAGAAAGACAGAAAAGAAGAAAGAAAGAAATAAATAAAGAAAGAAAATCAATACAATAAATAAATAAATAAATAAATAAATACATACCTAAACAAATAAAGCCAGAATAGTAAAACACACATCCGAACCTTCCCCTTGATTTCCCATTGGCTTTCCTCACTTGGTTTCCCTATTTGTTTGTTATGTTGACCTCGGATTAATAAACCCCTGCTTCTTAATATGTGGGTGTTCCCCATCCACAAGTGACGAGTCCCCACTAAACAAGGGACGCCCCCAAAGTTTATTCATCGTGGGTTGACGCAAATTTGGTTCTCCTTGACTTCAAACCTAGTATAACCCAGTACAACCCAGGGTTTCTAGGAGGTTACATTCATCATGATGTTAATGAATGGAGTTTGTTTGCCTTCCCCTTGGTTTTCCACGCGTCCCGCCTGAAAGTCACTCAGCGCCCTTCCGGGTCTTGGGTCGCTTGCGGCGCTGGCGGCTCGCCGCGCCTCGCGAGTGGTCGCTCCCGACCGCGCGACACAGAAAGCCATCAAAAACCCAGGGAAACAGCTGGTTTTTGAAAAGAACGATGGTTGAAAAGAATGGGGAATCAACCCCTAGAATGTTGGGCATCCTCGAAAACAAGGAGGCGGCGATGTGACTGCAAGCTGAGGGCAACCTTCCGATCCAGGCTCTGGTTTTCTCGGCGCGTCAAGAATTGTTGCCCAAGCCGCCTGGACCGGTTTCACACACAGCTTTCATAGTTGCGCATGGTTGACGGAAGCTTCAGGTGACTTCACAAAGTATGTGCAATGACACGCATAATGATGGTTCATAGTCGTGGTAGCACCAGAGCCGGTACCAAAAGCTTCCAAGCACCCAAACCCCGCAAGCATGTGTGCAATCCAGCCCGCACTGCATGTTTGTTGCATTATCTGCTTCAAACACCACCCAACATGCACGTGCGCAAAACAATGGGCACCCTTACGATGATTCCTTGAATATTGAAACATAACCGTGGTAACAAGCATTACACTACAGGATGTTCAACATAATTCCTTCTTGTTTCATATTTAGTTGGCATCCGGGATATCAAGTGGCTGCTCATTGTGAAAAGGGTTGGTCAATCCTAATCCTTCATCCACCAGCAATCCATACGTGGCAGTTGATCAATATTCCTGTTTCCGGAAAACGCCATCTTCGCGAGAAAAAAAGTTTCTTTCGCGAATCTTTCGCGACTCCATCGCCACGCCCTTTTGTTTGCAGCGTGCGCTCTGGAGCCAATTTGACTGCTGCAGTTATGCTTGCAAACACGGTGGCCGCAGTTCACTTGCGTGCAGTACGTAGTGTTAGGTGCGAGCAGTCACCGTCATTCGCCCTTGCCACTTGCGCTTGCCGGCGATGCGCGGAACCTTGCAACAAGCTCCCTGGCCTTTCGCCGGTCTTTCGCGGATCTTTCGCGAAACTTGCTCCAAAATAGCCCAGCCAACGTTATTGATTTGCACCATTCCCAACACAGGCAAGAAATCAATACTGTAGGTGCTGCGTATCTCCCTATCTACAAGGGAGCGGGGTCTGCTAATATGAAGTGCACAGGCATGCCTCCAAGAATCCAACGCGGAATCTTTCGCGAACAAATAATTTTCTTTCGCGAACTCCATCGCCGATCTTTCGCGGAGGAATTTACGCCAAGATGAATGGTCACCGAATACATAACTCCTTGCAAGGACCTTTTGATCAACCCCCACGTATCAAAAGGGACATCCATCACAATCCACGCCTGTGCCGAGGGTCACCGAATTTTGCCCGAAACGGGTTGCAATTCGGTAGGTCCACGTGAAAGTAAAAGCCTTGTGAGGGCCACGAAAGAAAGCATGGACGGCTCTGAAGCCGGCCGTCTCAAAAAAGAAATTCACACGCCCATCTCATGCTTCAGATCGCTTTGCTTTTCTTCAGCCGAAGCTGAACAAAGCTGAAGAGCTCACATCCACCGGAGGGAAGTCGAGTCGCCCAGGCCGCACCTTCGGTCGACATGCCAAGAGCACTGCACAGGGCGCCGCGGGCCGCAGGGCCTCCGCCCGCAAGGAGTGCGGAGGCCCAACCCCCCCGTGTCCCCCTCCAAATCAACGACCCCAAAACGAAGGAAGGGGTTTGGAGGGAGTTGCTAAGGCACCTCTTTTTGGAGGAAGCAGGCTGGTAAAAAACCTGGTACTTTGTTGGTGCTTTTCTTGCTGTTTGCTGTTAGGCTGCGATGCGTCGAGTTGCAGTTGTGAGCAGGGCTGCTGAGGGAGGGGAGGAGGGAGGGGAGGGGGGTGGGGAGGGGGGTGGGGCATGTTGTGGCCAATGTTGGTTGCAAATGCTGGCAAAAAGCATCTGGAGAGCCACCATGTCCATCCATCCCAGCAAACATGAATTTGCTAGAAGAGTCCCTGTGACGAGGGGAGCACGCAAACGACCCGCTTGCTTCGTAGTGGAGACTCAAAGTATATAGATAGATGGCGCTACATGCATCGCTTCCTTTAAGTATCAGCTTCGAGAAGGATCGACAAAATCCAGCTTTCTCTTTCCATGGCCGCATAACTATCAGTGCGTTGTCAGTTTGCACCTGGGCTCGTGGAGTTCCCAGCAATTTCCTCGGAAGTCTCAGGTGTGCTTTTACTTTGCTGGTTGGGTATGCTGCTTGCTACTTTGCCAATAGACAGCTGAACCTTGGATTCTAATTTAAGGGCATATATGTATCATACCAAGGTGAAAGTGGATGAAGTGAGTTGGATGACTAAACCAAATGATAGACATGACCTTGTAACCTTGAACAACCTGCGCTCCCGTTGTGGGAGAGACAGAATCGGGCCCATATCCTCCCAAAGGTTTGATGCTTTCGACTCGATCCAAATTCCTGAGACGGGGGGTCCTTTGGCCGATTTGTGTTGGAACTGGTTTGGTTTCATATGGTTCCATACCTACAAGAGGAAACCGGAAACACTTTTAGGTATTCAATCTCACCGCTGTGGTTATTTTTGTCCACTGCTTCTGCGAAAATTGTGCCAGTTTGGCCCATTCCTCTTGGAGACCTGTTTTGGTGACACCTGTGTGGCAACTAGATTGCCGGGTTTGGGGAGAAAAGCCGCGCAGCTCGCCCTGGGGCCCCAGCGCCCCAAGCGCCACGAGCCGCGCAGCTCGCCCCGCGCGAGGCCTCGCACCGGGAAAAGAGATCACGTGCGGGACGTGTGGCGATACCGGCAGACTCGGGGTGTGTGTTGTTTTCTTGGGAATCTGTGGGAATCTTGTGAGGGAACCTTTGTTTAAAAGCAAACTGGAAAGCCACCCTTGGAGCTGAAGTCACCGGGAAGGAGCCGCAAGGTTGGGCCGACCCCTTTGTTCGCATGCGTTGGTTCCAACACTCTCCTTTCCTGCTTATTTCCCTTCAGAAAGTGCGACTTTGGCTGAAATAATTACAGAAGAATGATTCTCAAGAACCCGGGTGGTTGGTCTCCCTTTCACTGTTTGAACACCATCCAAAATTGCCTCATCTTTTGCCCCAAGCATGGTATAGTTGATTCCGGTCCACTAGTGAACCTTAATATGCAATTTCAAATGAGTGCAGAAATAGGGTTCCCAAGGATGATCAGCGGCCAACCATGCCCCCAAGGGACCAAAATCCATGGATTGTCAAGAAATTGCGACAATCCCAGCGAAACTAGGTGGAATCATCTACTAAAACTACTTGGGCTGCCCGACCAATGAAATGCCGACACAAATAGGCAGCCCTGAGTTGACGGTCCCCTCGAATAAGACAGACCCTCGTCACCCAACGAATCCGCCTTCACATTGGCCACATTCGCGAGGCCGAATGCCCATGTTCGCGGGCCCGCGGCGAACATCGAGGCGAAACGATCCCGTTGGATTGTGGCGAGGCGTGCCTGACCCTGTTCATCGGGGAACGCAAGAAGGGTGTTCAAGTAAGGGTCGAAAGAAGGGTTTCAACATTAGCGGATCTCCGAAAAGAGATCCTGCTACAAGACTTGTTCCTTGCGGATTCGGCCCCTTGTTCATGTGGGGCACCCCGGATGCCCAAGCGAGGTGGGAACCTGGGAATTCCAGAAATAATATCTTAGGCAGTTCCATGCCTGTTGTGCGTTGCCAGGTGCTTATGAGTTTTGGAACGAGATACTTAATACTTGCATACAGGTGTCCTTTCAGGGGTTGGCTGATGCTTGGAGCATCTTGGAGCGTTTGCCAGTGACTCTAATGTCCAAATGACACCCAGGGATACCTGATGATCTTTCCCAATCACAATACAGGCTTCTGCACTCACTTTGAGCCACGCGTTGAGCAAGGCCATGTTTTGTGGGGCAACCAAGAAAGGCGCGTCGGTTTTGCTGATGCCATCAAAGAAGGTCAGCTACAAAAAGAAGGTAGCGAAACAAGATGAAGATGTTCACCGTCTAGCTTGCCTGCGTATTGCTCCGCATTCTTTTCACCCATCCTTCTTTTGAGAACTTACTCCGAGTCCGCATGTCAAGCGATGGAAAGGCAAAAGGCGGTCCCCAGGGCCACTGCTCGGCATTGAGGAAGCGGAAGGGAGATCATCGCATGGATGATGTTGAAATTGTGGACAAAACGAGAAATTCCAATACCGAATCAACAGCTCACATCCGTTGGTCAGAAAGAGTCCAATTTGGTTTGCCACTAAAATGATCTGCCCAGCCCACAAAGTCTAAAGTCTGGTAACTGAGAGGGTTTCATCTATGTTCAACCAGCAACCAAACACTGTTCAACAGGGCATCTATGTCTCAAAATTGCGGACCCCTCCACTCCATGTTGGCAAGTGTTTCTGTTTGGCTTTCCTGCAAATAACATCCACAAAGAGGCTCCCGATATTGAGACAAACCCATGACCCCGGTCTTCGCGTTTTCCATTGGCCGCCCGCGTGCGGCAATCCGCGTGCCCGCGAGCCCCCGGCAACGATTCGTCCCCGACTGCCGGGTCCAACTGGCAGAATCAGTTGTTGGAAGCACCGGGCTTTTCGAAGGTCATTTCTTTAGTCAGAATGCAAGGGACCAAATAATTGCAGACACACACACACATTGTTCTCCTATGATGATGACTTGATTTGGTGTCAAAATATCCCACAACCCCACTCTAATGATTGGAGGACCCTTCAGAATACTCTCTGACGGCTTGAATGTTGCGGATTTTTCCCTTGCTCTTGAATTGAACATGAGCCCAAGTCTGGCATACCAAGAGGAATGCAATACAACTCTCAGTGGGTCCCCCCCCCTCAACTTATTAGGATAACCGTGACCCTATTCCAACCCAGCATAAATTATACATGTAATATAATAAGCAAGCAAGAGCATACTGCCAAAATGCCAAGAACAGCGGCTGTTTTGAGCAACTCGAGTTCTTGAGAAAAGCCGCCATACAATTGGTGGTTTGGATCGGTGAGGGTTCCCGGCGCTTCGCTGAATTTGTCATTCAAGCCTAGGCTTTGCCTTCAGCCACGCGTGTTGAAAATAAAGAGACCCCCGGTGTAAAACCCCGTTTTTGTGGGAGGTCCCTTCGTTTCCAACTACGGGTGCCGAAAGGCAAACCCTTTCGATGCTCTCCGCACACAGCTTGTTGTGTTGCGCAGAGAGCCTCTAATTACGAACGCCAGTCTGACTGAACCCTCCATTTGCCAAGTTCTATCCAAGCCCATCTTGAGCCACGGTCAAAATATGCTGCCCACTGCAGGAAAATCAGGGTCCCTCTGAGCAGGACGCTTGCCCATATTAGAGTCTGACCTTGAAGGGAAGATAATGCGTGTGTTGGTTGGGTTGAATTCAGAAGGGGGACATGGTTTGTTCATTTGCTTGAAATAGGACACAACCGAACCGCCCACTTGTTTGCTTTGTTAAAAGGGCACAGAAACCTTCGATTTCCAAGTACCTACAATACAGGCCTTCTCGTGTGGTGGGTTGCGAGGTTCCCCAAAACCAATCTATCAAGTCGGGAACCTGGAAATTGAGGCCAGAAACGGATTTCCAGTTCTTCGAGGGATGACAGGGTTTCCCCACGACCCTGACTTCTGGGTAGAAATTTGGTCATTTGCGCCCGCCAAGAAGCTGGACTGGACCTACGGTCATTCCAAAGAGCCTGCCAGGCGTGTGGCAACCAAACCAACCATCCAAACCACCCAAACCAAACAAACGTGACAGGGAAACTCGAGGAAACCACACCGACCTTATTTTCTGATTGTCTAAGAGCAGCTCAAAATCCAGGTTTTGACAGAAACTTCAAACCAAGATTCTTGTTTGTTTCTCGCGAAATAAAGTCGAAGCCCTTGTGTTTTGCTTGATGTTTAACGGGAAAGCCTTTTCCAAAAGCAAAACGGAACAAAGGTTCAAGATTCTGACACCCTTTTGAGATTTGTCTGGTTTACAGTCTTGGGGTTAATGATACTGTGGACAGAATCCACAGTATGGGTAGCGCTTGGGATGAATGCAATAACCCTGGAATAAACCACCAACCCCGAAACTGGTGTCGATCAGGATTTTGCCCACAGTTTGAAGTCCCAGTTGGGGTGTCCTTGCTTGTTGGTTCCCTTTTTGTGGTTGGTTCAAAGGGAAACCGCGCCGAACGCCCACCCAATGTTGGGGGGCACCCCACTGCCGAAATGGGATGCCAGCCCGATGGCTCAAGCTGGACAGCTCGGCGATTGGTCTGTCACCAGGTACTCCCTTGCAGATTTCGGACGGATCCCAAACCGTGTAGAGCAATCCTTCTTTGGGGGACCTGTTTGGAGCAATGCATGTTCATCTGGGAAGTACAGGGTTGACTGGCACAAACAATTCGACTGACAGCCTTGCAAGGCTTGGACTCCAGACCAAAGGATCGCAGCCGCAAAGAAATGGCCATCAACAGCCCGTACCAGTCAACATCCCAATCCCAACTAAAATAGACTAAAATGGGTGGTGCACCTACCCCAATATGGTACCATTGGTTTTGACCCACAGCCAAATCAACGTGACCCTCCAAGCAAAGTACTCGTTTTTGCCAAACCCGTCTAACGACCAAGTTTTTCATTCTGGACACCTCCGAACGAAATTCCTGGATTTACCGGCACTGGTTTACTTGGAAATTGGAGGGACCCCTAAAAGTCGTCCTTTTGGGAAAATAGATTGGTGTCCCCCATTTATTTCTAACCAAGCTAACCTAACAAGGAGATCTGTGCCCCTGACTTGGCAAATGTGATGTGCACAAGCCTATTGGTCTGGAGTTCGGGAATCCGAAGGCTGTCTGCCAAGGTGTCTGTTCTCATGGGCCTCGGTTTTCCGCGGCCGTCTGGAAGCATGTTTCTTGGTGCATGGAATGCAGCCCAAGCATCGCATTCCGAAATCAAGGCAACATCCGTTATTTGTTTTCTTCTAAACAAAGGTTTGCTCACACAACAAAAAGCCGCCGGGCACGTGAGGAAACAACAACAACAACAACAACAACAACAATTGATCCGCTCCAGGCAGAACATCATTTGAGTATCTTTGCCTCAGCTTCCAATTTGAGCCAGACAACCACCCCCGGGCGGATGCTTGGCAGGTTTCTCCTTGGAGAAATCTCGCGAGCGGTTCCTTCCCATGACCAGTTCGCCTCAGGCTGTGCCGATTCGTCTGTCCGAGCTGCGCTCGCTCCGCCTGTGCCATGGCTTTCTTGCTGGATTCAACAGGGGCTTTGAGAATGAACCAACGGATTTTCTTGGGAAACTAATCCGTACAGTAATAGATATTTCACTTCGAGGTCATTCCCTGCACAGGTAGCCGAAGGAAACAGCCGCTAAACACAAGGACGATGGCTAAGGGAAACCTGCCATAGTGGTACATAGCATCCCAGAAACATATTTGTGGGAGGCTATGTTGAAGATCAATTTCCTTTTGGAGGGGACCCCTGTGAAGTGCCTTTGCGCCGAAGTGGGGCCACTTAGGTCTACTACGAGTCCTGCTGTCAGACTCACGCGATCCCACGAATTGCGAGCCTCCGGCCAAAGAGTCTCCTTTCGGAAGAAGGGAACGCCCAAACCCAGCCAGCGACCCAGCAAAAAAGGGGAAAATTCACCATTTGGCAAGAACAACAGGAAAAACAACACCTCTTTTGGGTCCCCTATTTCGACATATACCCACTTTGAGTGTACCAAACACACGAAAAGGGAAAAGGATGAAGAGCAACGGGGCCAGGAAAATGACCTGCTCAGTTAACAAGTATTTCCATTTATGGCTTTACTCAACTGATGCAGTCTGCCAACTGAACAGGTCAAAACAGGAAACTTCTTTACAATTCTCCACGGGTATAAATCACCCTCAAGGATGGTGGTTGTCCTTTGGTTTCTTTGCAGCACCATTCCAAATGTTGGCCACTTGGAGACCGCGAATTGTCCGAGAAACACCTGCATGGTCACAGTGCTGTTGCTTCTTCTACGCATGGGTTGGATATCAGGAATTGGGAGGTTGAAACCGAGCAATCTTGGCCCTTGCTGAACCTCAGCCCTTCGCCAACCACTTCAAAAACAGGAGTGTTTGATCCCGGGCCGTATTCAGCGAATCTTGAAATGAGAAGTGTATAACGAGATCCCGGAAAAGGTCAGAGGAGCACCCCTCTTCAGGGTAGCTCAACCCGGCCTTCGAGAAGCCTTGGGGTTGATTTTTTCCTTTTGCCCAAAGCCGGTTCTTTACGCCAGTGAGCCTAAGGGAAGGATCTGTCAGGAACAGGCAAATGCTACGCTTTGCTATCCTACGGCCGTGAACTTAGATGTTCATGCAGTCTGCATTTGACTCTTTGCACATGGGTCATGCCCCCTACATTCTGGGTACATTGTGTTTAGCAAGCATTGGAGACTCGTGCCTTTCAATCGGGGCTCACCAGTCGGGGAGTGTC